TATTTAAGTTCTAGAAAGCACAATAATACATGAACATAACGCACACATATTGTTTGTTTATGATAAAAAAATGCATGAAGTTTTGTTTATAAAGAACAAAATAGCATACGGCCATGGTAAAGTTTGCGAATAGCCGCATACAAAGTATTCAAAAGTGCTTTTCAAGGGCAAACAATTTCATTTATTTTTAAACACTAAATGATTTGCATTACTATATTTTGACAAAACATATAATCTGGCTAATAAAAGGTGAAATAACACCATCGTATATGTGGATTTTTATATGAGTGACATCTGTTTAGTTCATCCATCGTGATGACATAGGGAACAATAAAATAAAGACATGCATTAAAGCAAAAGTATTAGATGTTTCTTTGGTCAATCACAAGTGCGCAATTCTACACCCGGCTGTCTCAAACATATTCGCTGTACATTCTGAATTTTATAGATCTTGCTATAGCTTGATTCCCGAAAGAATATACTGTTTAATTAAAATTCTTCTGAGATATTTTATATGCATTCATAGAGAATTTTACCTTTTTAAACCGTAAATGATGCTTGATTCAATAGGCACTATACAACGTTTTGAAGGTCAACCGTCACATTCTATGGACGTTATGGAGGGATGCAAGGATATTACATATTCTACCACGTCTGTGATGTAACGACGGTTTTCAATGGTTAAAAAGAGTGCATTATTGAGCGATATAACATGCGCGTGCCAATAACCAATGCACGTGAAATAGTGCGCACGCATGCTGTTCCAACAACCTCCCCGTATTTTATCGCGAATTAACAAAAATAGCATAACTGTCAGGCGGGATCAACATATTTGACCGGCCTGCCATTCAAAAGATTACACGGATCTATAGACCTAAAGTATGTGGGTCCGTGCAGTGAAAACGGTTTATTAATTATTGACATTTAAAATGTACAGGTCTGAAGACAAAATGGTTAATCATTAATTACTTCTGTTTTTGTACTGTCAAGTGTTGATATCATGTTTTACCGAACGATGTCGATAGCGTGCCAATGTTTGATTGATTGAAATAAACATCGTTTCTGACGTCACACGGGTTCAATTGTTTCTGGTCTGCAAAACGATTATTTCTTAACCAAGGTCAAGTGATGTCGAGCATTCGCCTACAGTGTACAAACCGTGTGTGAAGAATAATGTTGCAAAAAGTTACATCGGTCCGAACAGTGGTTGCAAAATACATCTGTCCGATGAAGTCGGTGAAGGTGAATGTCGCGTCATGATCAGCAGGTCAGCGACTTTCCATCACGTCATGGCAACCAACTAAATATGCCAACTCATGTCAGGCCTATCGTATGGTGTTGTATCATTGGCACTTCCAAGATAATCCGCTTGATATCGGTACGATGATGATGGTTTTAGAAATAAACGCAATCCGGGAATCCCAATCCTACGCACTGAGAAATGTTGGCGCGACATTAATCAAGTTAAAACGAGGCAACACGATCATGTGATAAATCTTGCACCCGCAAAAGAACAGCGTCTAATTTGCATATCGAATTATCTAGGTCATGTCGCCTTATAAGACAGCAAAACTTTACAATTAGTTACATTTGACGTGGTAGAATAAAAATAATCATTCGAAAATGTTGGAAAAATAATTAACTCAGGCCGAAGCAGCCTTCGTTAATTATTTTTACCAACATTTTCTCACCCTTGTTATATATTCCACCATAATGCACGCACATATGTTGATTATTTCTTAAATATCAAGTCCATCGACATCACAACTCCTCTTATAAAGCTGGTGGTAAATGCTGTCGTCACCTGTACGGTGTGACAGGTGGTAGAACATAGCCTGCTACCTGGAACATGTACGACATGTCTAGTTAACGTGTTACAGCGACGCTGACTTTCCTCTGCCCACACAAACAAGGAAAGGTCACCGCTGATATTCGTGTAAACATGGACGTACATATATTTAAAACACAGGAAAAGTGATATCACAGGCTGTATCGTCTTCTTAACATCACGTGGGTATGATGCGATTACAGTAGTCATATCGGAATAATTGTCTGCGCATGTCTTGAAAATTGAATTATCACACCGACAACTTATAGTCGTTGCGACGCAAATCGATGCACAATTTCAAACTAACATCAATATATTCATCTACACTAAACTGTGTATGGAAGAAGCAATCGTTATGAATCTCCTATACTCTTTATCTGATGCATGAACGTTCAAATGGGGACCATGTACAGTTGATGTTCAAATATGATTGACACGTGCGCTCAACGGGAAGGTTAGTGTTCAGTGTTTCTATAACATCAATGCGCATGAGTTTATATATTTTGTTCCGTGGGAAGACTGGTGATAATGAGTTTATAACGTGTTTTCAGAGGGAAAATTAGTGTGTATGAGTTTATAACGTGTTACATGGGAAGCTTAGTGCGGATGAGTTTTTAGCTTGTTCCAACGAAAGGTCAGTGCCTGTGAGTTTATACTTTGTTCCATTGGAAGATTAGCATATACGATGTTATACTTTGTTCTGTGGGAAGATTAGCAATTAGGAGTTTATACCTTGTTGTGGGGAAGATTGGTTTCTACGATTGTATACCGTGTTCCGTGGGGAAAATGAGCGCGTATGTGTTTATACCTTGTTCCGTGGAAAGATTAGTACGTATGGGTTTATACCTTGTTACGTGGATTAGTACGTATGGGTTTATACATTGTTCCGTGGAAAGATTAGTACGTATGGGTTTATACCTTGTTCCGTGGAAAGATTAGTACGTATGGGTTTATACCTTGTTACGTGGGAATATTAGTACGTATGGGTTTATACCTTGTTACGTGGGAAGATTAAATGTAGTACGTATGGGTTTATACCTTGTTACGTGGGAAGATTAGTCCGTATGGGCTTATACCTTGTTCCGTGGAAAGATTAGTGTGTACGGGATTATCTTGTTCTATCGGAAGATTAATGCGTATGAGATGTTACCTTGTTCCGTGAGAAGATTATCGGTTAGGAGCTTATACCTTGTTCAGCTGGAAGATTAGTGGCTATCAGCTTTTATTTTGTTCCGTAGGAAGATTGGTGCATATGAGTTTATACCGTACTCCATGAGAAAATTAGTGCCTATGGGTTTATTCCTTATTCCGTGGGATATTAGTGTCTATGAGTTATTCCTTTTTTCTTGGAAAGAGTAGTTCATATGGGTTCAATCCGCGCTACGTGTGGATATCAGTGCCTTTAATTTAACACCTTGTTCCATGGGAAGATTAGCGCCTGTGAATTTATACCTTGTTTCCATACCGTGTTTCGTGGGGAGATCAGTTCATATGAGTTTGTTGATACCTTGTTCCGTCGGAAGATACGTGGTGATTGATGTATAGTTTGGCCCATGTGAAGATAAATACCTCTGAGTTATACATTGCTCTGTGGGAAATTAATGCTTATGAGTTTATGCGTTGTTTAAACGACTAATTTTCCTGTTTTTGCAAAGGTCTGATGCCGAGTTTAGAACGCTACAACACTGCAATGCCATGCCGAAAGCACCCAACACAGTTGTCCGCCCGTTCACGTCATACTGACAATGTTTTTACCAGTTGTAGCGATTACCCTGCTGCATGTTAAGCAGGGAAAACATAAACAGTTTAAGGACTTTGTAGATAAACTGAATGTATGCTTACAGGTACAAATATAAAGTCTCAAAACATACATCGTTTATAGACTTAACGTCTGTTCTACACTCCCAAAATGGACACGTGAAGTATACTGGTGATCTGTTACTGTACACAGCATCAACATAGTTACAGTAAAAAGTGTCATCATAATTGCTTTGTTCGTTTAAACAAGTAACACATCATACCGATACTTAATGTCATTAGTTTTGCCACACCCTTTATTGGTTGTGCTTATGACATGCTAATGAAACATGTGAAATTTCCAAGAGTTATTTCTTAACTGAAGGCCCTACAGATCAACCAAAGAAAATGTCGGAATGGACTCGGTGTGATATCATAATTATCATATGATTTCAGAGTTGATTATTATGAAGCGGTTATAAAGGATGGTAGGGTAATCTCATTATATGTCCTGATCGTCTTTCATTGAGGACATCACCAGTATTGTAACGGGGATATGTCTTTATCCATCATCCATTGAAGTTTCGACAAACAAACGTGAGGGAGATAGCTGTCCGAACTAACATAATGCGTGTGATCAACCATTTACAGACAAACATTTTATGATTGTGAATACGGTGATTTGAAACAAAAACGTTACAGATTCTATTACGTACCCTCTATAAAAAGTTTAATTGACACAATTTCACTGCAATTATATTTGGCTAACTATAATTATAATCAGTTCGTCTTTACCATTAGATACGTTTTGTGTATAATTGATTTCACAGCCAATTCGATCACTATTGATGTATTTTTACATCATTAACATATTCTTACCTATCAAATTTTAGTTGGATATCTTGATTTTTGTAAATGTATATTTTAACATTGCTGTGTGGCCCTGAATGGCTCATGATATCTATGGGCTGTTAAACAATTCAAAACTAAATACAACCATACACAAGTTTGCTGAAGATGCAGCCACGTATTTTGCCAGCTTGTGTACCTTATTGAGTAAGGTCTGTTACTACGGGTTTGGTGATCCTTTGGTTCCCCTATTTCCTGGATTTTCCGAAATCGACATCACTTTCCGTTACCCCTTACTCTATCTTGTTTCTCACACTTGAATAAGAAGTAAAAAATGAATGCTGTGAAGGAAGGGAGTTTCGACTCTTGCAAAACTAATAATGACAGGATTGGGAATTCGGGTGATAATTGCCTATAAAAACTAATTCAGAAGTGCATTAATACCGTTTAGCTGTTTGTTTAAAACTCCACTTGGAGAACGATTGATATACCATCTGTGTTTGAACACGTTCAATGTCGTGCCCATTTCGTTTTGACTATAATTAGCTAGAAAACACAAATATTTATAATGAAATTTATATTTCAGGTTTACAAACACTACGATGACGACATCAGATTTCGGACACCTTACGGTGACCTTTCAACCCCAAAATGTTACGTCACAAGCCGTTGATGGAAACTTGACAGAACCGGAAGGGGAGCTTACCGCAGACGGTATCATAGTTCCGGTCATCTGGGCGCTACTGGTGATCACAGGAACAATAGGTAACGGAATAGTGATATATATACTGAGCCGATACGGCGAACGGACGGTGACCAATATTTATGTGATCAACTTGGCGTTCTCGGACCTCACCTTCATTGTGATAGTGCTACCTATTACGGCCATACACTTTGTAATACCGACGTACATGTTTGGGGAGGCCTTGTGCAGGATCAGTATCTACCTTATATATGTAAGTATTGTGACGTAGCAAGTGTTATTGTCCCATTTATTTATAAATTGGAAAGCCTAAACTTACGTTCTCTGCATCCCAGGAATATGTCATAGCAAAATAAAATGCATGCTGTTAGCAATTCGATTTGTTTTAGGTAGAAAACGACCAATTGTTAGGATGATATTTGTCCTTTGAAGTTTACAGATAAGCAATACATGACTTCGAAGCCGATACATGTTACCGTTAATCGCCGTGCCGTTCTTTCTTTCTTGTAAAATCCACAACGTGGCGCGCGCAGAGCCCTCAATTTCCTACGGACGTATTCCAGGGATGCAGAGAACGTAAGAGAGCGTTATGCCCGGATTTTTGGGGATGGGTATGATATTTTATACGATGTCGCCTAGAGAATTTGTATACTAATCAAGCTTGCCGATATTGATGGGTCTATCGTACATAGGTAGATGTATACGTATGTAATTCAAATGATTAATTGTTTTCGAAAGCTCAGCTGAAATAGTGATATTTTCGGAAAACGCTAGACTTAACCCATTTATTACAAGTAAAATGCTTTATGCGCAATAAGATGATGAGAGCAAAGGCTAAGGTTTAGCCTTTACTCTCGTCATCTTATTTTGCTTACGACCGTTCGGCCTATATCTGTCCCGTCCGCAACCTCAGTAAACAAAGCGTGCATCGTATCTTACACCTGTAGCTATATCTATTACAAGTATATGTTAGGGTCGTAATGACCTATTGACGTCATATTAACGGACAGGGACAGTGATTTACGTTACAAGTTATTTATACTTAGATATGATGCATTAATGTACTTAGTTTTGAGTCGGGCTGATATCTGATCGGATGAGGCGAACCCGGATTCGCCATTTTTTCGTTTTCTTGACGTTTGAAAGCATACTGTATTGCTATCGCTCAAACGCGACTAAGATCAACACAACGCCTGTGTTCTAGATTCCCTCCCCTTGATCGACCGAAAGCGCGGATAATATGTTCTACGGAGAATTGAATTCAATTACAAGGCGATGGAGTTTTTTTTAATTCTGTTAAATAACGGTAGACCAGCTACCACGTGTTTTAGAACGCTGAAAAGTATTTAAAACAATGTGAATATTTCTATTTGAAAAGGTCTTAGGCGGGCACTCACACCAAAACATCCCATAATTATTTTAGATTAGAGTGAAGGCACGTGCCTACAGGAAGCTGTACCAATAATGTACCAAGATGAAAGGCCCTTTTACAATGCTGATGTCCCTTACTATGTAAAAGTCCCTCCTATTTACTGACAGGTTTAATCGTGCCCAGGTTATGACATTTCTTTAAAGTTCCCATTAGTAGCCTCTATGGACGCAGTCCCATATGATCCAAGTTGTTGCGAGGTCGTAAATCCCTTAAAAATCAAACAAAATATCCATTTGAAAAAAATACAAACCGATTTGACAATTGTATTGCCTATTTCTAACAGTTGAAGCTATCTGATTATCTCATGATACCTGTTTAAATAAAACATGTAGTGCGTGCAATATCGTGTAATTTGCAACGGACATGATCGTTTTCGAAATTACTAAGTATTATCAAATAAAATATTACTATCTTAAATGTGTCATATATTCTGTTGATATAATTGCAAATAATTTCCTATTGGTAATGATTTAATCTAGACAGTTTTTGATCCTCTTTAGAACCATAACTGATTAACAAGCTATAAAAGAGCGAGGGTGTTGCCAAGGTATCATATACAACTTACTGAATGTTGTTCTTTAGAGGGTAGGTAATAAATTATAACTTATATGTTTATGTATCATATAGGTAAAATAAACTCCTCAGATTTTGTATCTATACCTTTCTTTCTGCTTCTGTATACCGGAAAATGTTTGTCCAGTTAAACTTTCGACCTTCTCCCTTAAATTCAAATTTCGTCTTTCACATACAATTACTCTGTATATTATGTTTTTTGAAATTATAACTTCGCCCTCGTTACGGGGATTAGCTCGTTTGTTTGAGTGGTTTTAAGTCCGTTTCACTACCGTGTAATTCGGTTATCCAGCGGAGGGCAAAAAAAGCGAAAATAAAACCGCAGCAAAAATGTCCAGTATACAGTGGTCATTTTAACATAATTTACGTTTTTGTGTGCAAGTTGAGGTTACGATAACTGTCTTTTTGGCCTTGTGTATTCAGTTCAGCTGTTGTCCTCTACCAAAACCGCTCCGTATAGACAGACAGACATTCTTTATTTCCTCTTTAACAAGAGATTAAAGTCAATCAACACATACATATATGTTCACATTTCAAATTACATAAAGATAGCGTTCATCAATAGAAAAAGGAAGAGAGTTACAATAATGTGTCAATCTCGCTCAACATTCTTTCTAGATTAATTAACATAATGATCATTCATCACACCATCCATCATTAAGTCCCGCGTTTAAAACAATTTCGGACACTCAAGCAGAAAATGAAAAACAATATCAGCAGTAGATTTACCACAAAGTTTATATAATACAATATCGCGTTAAAATATAAATGAATATTTCATCAGCTCTTACATTTAACTGCCACAATGCATTTATGCGGTTTTTGCTTGGTACTCCGTTCTAATATGGGGTTGATTCCCTGATAACTTTGTATGGCAGAATAACGAAGCAATTCCGCTTTTGTAGATAATGTATCTCTCCACCGTATATGATAGAAGTCTGTAATAAATCTTTTAATAAAACGTTTCCAGCATAATTTTGGAGGTACAAATATGCTGGTTAAAAAGTAAATAAAAATTGATGACGTTTTCGGTAGTCCAATACAACGCCTACAGACATATCTATGAGTGAGTTCTAATTCTTCAACAGATTTATTGGTATAAACGTTCCAAAGTTTGCTTCCATGTAGCACACATGGATAAACAACAGATTTTACTATATTAAAACTAGTTACAGGGTTACGCCAATTACATGTGTAGCGTGAATGCCTATACCAATAAGAGAGTTTAAACTGTTCCTTCCTTTCACACAGGACTCGGTAATACCACTGTCTGATTGTAGGTTACATGTAAAGAATATCACAGCATAAGTTTCTGTATAGTACGTGGAATAGCCACTTCTCCAAGAAAACAAGAAATTTTACTACGTTGCTCTGATTTCGATCGACGTGAGCGATCGAATATCATAACAGAACGTTTAACAGTTATACTTCAAACGCCACATAGCAGAGTAGTAATATGCAATGTCCAACTGTTTTTGAAGAAGAGAAAGCGACGCTGATTAAAGTAACGTATCATCTGCTAACAATACACAGGGTATGTGTATATCTTTAAACTCTAAACCCGAAATTCCGATTGTCTAGCTCAACATTAAGATCATTACCAGAAAACACCATGCGGATACCACTCGACCTTGACCTACCCCCTGACCTATTGGGTACGTACTACTACGTTTACCACCGAAAAAGCACTGATGACGTCTCATTAGTAAATGAATCAAATAAAAGTCTCCAAAACTTGCCATTGACACCTAAATTGTATAATTTGTACATAAAACCGTTTATCCACACACTATTGAATGCTTTTTGATTATCAAGAAAGGCAGCGAACACTTTTGATTTTCTTTCTATATAATATGAAATAGATTCCTTTACGTTAAATGCTGCCGTGATACTTTCACAGTGCTCCCTGAAACCTTGTTGAAGCTTATTGGGAAACTGTATGACATTACACTGTTTTAAGATTCTAGAGAATAAAACCTTTTCCATTACCTTTTGCATGATCGGTGTAAGAGTTATGTCCCTGTAATTAACCACCAACAACCGATCTCGCTTACCACCTTTAAAAAGAGTAATTACGATACCAAATTTGAAATGTTCAGGGTATGACTCCCTTTCTATTATGTCATTAAAACATGCAACGATTGAATTAAGCAAATTACAACTAGCTTATCTTATATGTTATAGAAATATCCCAGCGTGTCCACCGACTTTTCCACTATTCATATCTATAATAGCCTGTTTGACTTCCAAAACTGTGATGGGGTCGTCACAAATACCATCATTATTGTTAAAACTATTAACGTTCATAACGTCGACCATGCGTTCAATGCGTTTCTTGAACTCATCATCAAAGTGTGGTTCATTGAGAGGACTTGATAAATTGCGAAAATGTTCATACCACGCTTCTCTCAAAATATCTGAATCACGAGTAATCTTTCCAATAACCAGTTATTCATACGAGTAAGAGTTTTTACTTACATTCCTCTTTGTACGTATAGCTTTATGAAATGTTCCGGTATAGAGTTCTGCCATTTTTTTCAAGTTGTTCAAACTGTTTCCTTTCGTACTGTTCACGAGCGAGTTTAAATTCATTGCGAAATGATCTCTTCGCGGTTTTATAGTTTGTGTAAGTCTCATGACCTTCACCACGTGGACGACCTTCATCGATTCATAAAGACCGGATATATCTCATATTAGTATGTAGAGATTTTACATTATTACTGTTCCAATGCGGTTTCAAATAATTTCTGTACCGTTTTGTAGGAAACGATAATTTTGCAGCAACATTCATTATTTTAGCAATCTCAGAGATTACAGCCGGAACTTGTATTTGTTCCAATAGCATATATAATCGTTGTTTATATGTGTTTATAATCTTATGTTCTTCCGTAACTTTTTTCCAGCTAATAGCCGAATCTAGCAATGGATAATCACGTTTATGACAATTCATTCGAAATGTAAGCTGTGTCGGTCGATGGTCAGACATATCTAGAAACTGGTCATCACATATATGACAGGAATCTACAAGGTCGATTTTGGATTGAACTGTTGTCCTCTACCAAAACCGCTCCGTATTGTTGACAGTGAAACACGGCCTAGTCAATGTTGTTTACAACTTTCGTGGTGGAAGCAACTCTCAATATCACACGAAACCTTAACGAAAGCATAGATTACTAACGATTACCTGGAATAAAATTTGCCAATGTTTGGAATTAAGATGACCTCATGTGAAAAGGGAAATTAATTCA